CGTGGCCGAAGAGCTGACTCTCGGCCAGCGTCGCGGTCAGGGCCGCACAGTTAACGGGGACAAACGCGCGGTCGGCGCGGGGGCTGAGCTTGTGGAGTGCCTTGGCCCAGAGCTCTTTGCCAGAGCCGGTCTCGCCGGTCACCAGGACGGTGCACTGCACCTCGGCGGCCTTCTCAGCGTGGCGGGCAATCTGCCGCACACGGGGGCTGTCGCCGAGCACCCAAGCATCAACGTCCGCAGCCGGACGTGACGTCAGGTCGTCGAGAGAGTGTTTCGAAAAGTTGGACGCCGTGGTCGGCATGCCTGTTTCTCTGCCCCGTCGCCGGCGGCCTTCGCAGGCAGGACGTTCATGCCCTGCCAGTAAGTCCAACGGCCGATTACAGCGAACGCCCTGTCCGCTATCGGGGAGTGTTGTCGTGTGCCTAACGTCGCCCCACCGCGGGGGTGATTCGTCCGGCGTTCGCTTTCCACCTCAGCCACAGCCCGTTGCTGCGATCCTTGCCGTCGGTAGGAAAAGCGCTTTAAAGGGTCACGAGCACTCCGATGAGATTCAATTGGCCGCCCGACCGTTGCCTCGACGGCTCGGGCTGAAGGAGTCGTCGTAGACCGTCCACGACTCAATCCGCTCTGCTCCTAGCTCGCATCCTAGTTGCGGCAGGCGAATTCCACAACAAATCCGCCTAGGAAATGTTGTTTAGTTGCGTCCCCGTAAGGGGTTACGCGGCCTGTGCTAGCAGTGCGGAGCGTGCGGGCAAATTCGCTCCGGAGGGGGCGATTTTATTGCCTGGGCCGGATCGAGTGTGCGCATTGCGTCGATCGCTGCGCAAATTCACGCAGCGACCGCCGCGGCTCCGCGACGCTGGGCCACCACGGTCAGACGGTGGCGGTCGGCGTAAGCCCGGAACTCCGCTGGGTCGAGGAGGATCGTCAGGCCCGCCTCGATCGCCAGGACCCTGGCGCCGGCCTCTTTCATGCTCTGAAGCGTCTGAACCCCCACCGTCGGCACGTCGAACCGCATGTCCTGGTTGGGCTTAGCGACCTTCACCACGGTGAAACCGCCGCCGCGGCACAACTCGCCGGCCCGGCGGATGCAGAGATCGGTCCCCTCGATCGCCTCGATCGCGATGGCCGCACGGCCCTTTACGCAGACGCTCTGCCCCACATCGAGGCGGCCCATCTCCCGGGCCANNCGGCCTGCAGCGCGGCGCTGAGCGGCCGGCCGGCGACGAGGCCCTCTTCAACCAGCAGTCCCGGGGCGAAATCCGTGGCGGGTTCCATCGTGACGCCTCCCGTGGCGAATACCTCGACGATGCGGCCGAGTAACGTGTCGTCCTTGCGGTCGGCGCTGTGGCCGACGAAGTGTGAGTAGAAAGCCTTCGCCCCGGTCCAATCGGGCAAGTAGCGAATCAATGCGCCCGGCTGATAGAGCGTCACCTTGTGGAACTTGCCCGCCATCGTCGCGCGTTCGACGCCGTAACGGCGGAACAATCGAATCGCCGTACCGAGCTGGCTGGGTCCAATCCAGTGGAACGCGTCGGCGATCCCGTCGTAGTCGGCCTTCACGGCGTGATGCCGCACGCCCAGGCACACCACTCGGTAACCGGCGTCGCGCATCGACTCGGCGACAACAATCGGCAACCGCCCCCACGCCGCCAGAACGCCCACCGCCGGTCGATCGTCAACTCGATGGTTCATCGGCAATGGGAGGGATCTGTAGGAGGGGTCTCCAGACCCC